AATGCCAAGATCAACCCTGCCGCACAGGGAGCAACACTTTCTGAAGAACACCTTTGTGTTCACACACTAGCTTCACCTGAATGATTTCAACATAATAGTGATGAGACAATTTGTGTTTTCAAATATGTGAAAATTAATACAGTGAAGAAAGATTTTGGTTTAAAGATTTTTCAAATCATATCTATAACCCTCTAGATCAGTCATCTCATCCATCATCTAATCCCCTCATTACAGGAGGAAAACGAACACTAGCCAATAGAACTGCACTGACGATGCATGCAATATCCAATATGATTCATAGAATAAAGACTTACTTTTCCTTTATAATTCACACAGTGGTGATTGAATAGAGCATTCATCTCTGAAATCATAAAAAAGAAAATGAGATAAGTGGCCACTTAAACAAAAGTTAAAAGAGAGACCGCAAGAGACAAAAACGAATCAAATGAAGACAAAGGAAAAAGGAGGTAAAGAACAGATTAGAACCTGGGGTTGAATAATAACTTAAAACTATTGACTGCCGATAGAACCATGCATGTCCATCCAGATACCTAAACATAAGGTGAAATGCTTTGAGATTTCACTAAAATGACAGCCTTAGCAAATTAAAGAGGTACAATTAGAGCAAGAAGAATAGCTGATGGCATACCACGGTCTGATGCGCATGACATTGGTACCATGTTGTTTCGACGGAATCCGGTTTAAGTGGTCAACAGCCGTAGCAAGGAAGGCCCAATTCTAGAAGTTTATACAACCATATGAGGAAAGGAATCACAACAAAAAAGATGAACAATTGGAAGAAATAAGCATTCATCTGTCCATTTTTAGATTAACCCTACAACCTACCTGCATAGATATTATGTCTGCATGATCAATAATCAAAACCTATCAAAGAGAAAAAGGAAGATAAATTAATAATTCATTCATGAGATACATAAACATGACCTTAGATAAGTTATACAAAAAATATACAGGATAAAATTTTGGAAAATAGTAGATTTGACATAATGTAACATTTTGGTAGAGATGATCTGGCATTTTTACACTTATGTTCTGCAAGCAATGAGTTAGAAAGTTTACCTCAATGGAGGAAAGATAATCAACATCCCGTTCCTTGTCTTCCTCTGCTTGGCCAATTGCCTAGCAAGAGCACAATTTCGATAACAAAATGTATCAAGAAAATTTATACTGCCAACTGATACGAAAAAAGATACCTACCATATGTAACTTGAGGGGAGAAGCAATGATCATGTCTGAGGAATAAAAATCACCATACAGCCTAATGCTCTTCCTGAAATGTACAAGATGTGGTGGAATAAGTAATGCACAAAACCTCAAGGAAATACACTACAAAACCCAAAGCGTGTAGATATAATTTTAGACTGCGTGCAGGCTAGTGAATATGCCTTGTAAACTTAATGCCGATCATAAACTCGTCATCGCAGTTCCCGCCAAACAGGGCTTGAAAATCAGAAGGTTTAGAAGATTTCTGTGGTTTTGGAATTCCATTTTCAGAGGTATCCTTGTCTCCATCATCAACATCAGTGTCCTCTTCAGCTCCGAACTCCGTATTGAACCGGTCGAGGTGTTCAACATTAACCTGCAAGCAAAGAGAGGAATTGAAGAGACCAAAGGAAACCGTAACAAATTACAAAGCCTTTAACCAGATACATCAGAAATATCAATAACCAGAAGTTGGAATTAGTACCCATATACTAGAAGAAACACCCAAAACAATAAAGGCACCTTTAAGTCACATCATCTGTTAGCGATCATACTAGAGAATTTTCTTACCCGTACATTTAGCAAAAATATAAGAATTCAAAGATGGAAGACCAAGACAACACAACACGTTCACATGGAAAACTTTACAGACAAAACCGATGATTGGAGCATGGGAACTATATACCCTTTGAGTTTGAGGAGTTAGTTGTATAAGCCTCTTAATGACACGAAAGGCAATGCTCCTCATCGGTAGCAGAATCAGGACCTGAGATATATAATTAAAAAAAGGGTCCCTTGTCAAAAGTGAGGAATGACTTTATTGACTGCAGTAACAATATCCAGAGTTGAAAGGAGTTGGTGCAACCTTAGGACGAGTAAATCCTTGATCAAGAAATGCATCATCACAAAGAACTTCCTCTGCAGATGTCTCTTGATGCTTAGCTATTTTGGCTTCATTCTTTTTCACAAGGTCCCTCGTTCTGAATATGTGATTCAACTGCACAAAAGAAACTGAATTTAGTAGATAGTGAAGGATCAATAGCTCAAATAAAATCCCAACACACAGCCAAACAAGGTATTGTCTGGCAGGAATGAATATGAGTATGTACACACAGAATGCATAAGGTATGCGTCCATGGAGCATGAGTCTTCTTCAAGGCCTCTATTGTAGAAGGGTTTCTTGTTCGAATGAAAAATGTCCCTGTAGCTGTTATCTAGAAAACAAAAACACAATCGACATGTCCACAAAATAAATAAGAGTACGGAACACCAAATACCACCAAGATAAACAATCAGAAAGGGCTATTTCTGGAATCTGTACATACAAAGGGAGAAGAATCTTCTCCTCTTAGATGAGTCAAAATCTTTCCCTCCAGATTTTTTGTATACTTCCAGCCAGTGCTTATATAACTTAGGCTTGAGGTCATAGTTCACATAAGACTCAAAGCCCTAGAAAATTATAAAGAACTCTTGAGTTAGAAAACAAAATTTACAATGTGATATTCTATAGAAATAAGGCCATGCAACACATACATCCATGAAGTTTTCACTCGTTCCTTTCCATCTGCAATTTGGCATGTCAATGGCAGGTGACTCCCACTTAAACTTCCACATGCCTTTTGGCAGGGTCTCCACATCTTCACCTGATAATTTGTGTCCAAGGTGTTCACTGAAGGCACTGCACAATTGAATGTGTATGAATGAACAAATGAAACGAATTGACCAAAAGAAACGGATTGACCAACAAATGCAAAGAATATGATGATAAAGAACAAAAAATAATTATTTCACTAGAATTTTACCTCGCGGATGAAGAAGCATCTCTAGTAGATTGAACAGTAAAACTCAATTCATGCTCTTCATCCGATTCAGAAGCCTCAGAATCATCTTCCTCAATTTTATGATCACTACTACTCTCTTGCATCATGCTCTCCCCAGCATGATCTTCAGGATATTCCTCATCAACCCCTTCAATTAAGCCAAGTAGAACATTTAACTTAGATCAGGACCGAAAGTTGATCCAACTACAGCAACCTAATACTGAGAAATCTCTTAAGACCAAGAGCTAATAGCTACAACTGATCTAAAAAAACATTCGTTGATTGATACGATGAATCATCAGCGCAAGTCAAACTTTACCTTGAATCGGATTATGCTCATCATCCGACATGGTTGAATATTCAGACTCAGTACCAACATTTTCATCTTCTTCCTCTTCCTCTGTCTCTCCATCATCCTCTTCTTCTTCAGTGTCACTCCTACCTTCTTCTTGTCTTAGTCTATAAACAGAATTAGCAATTCCTCTTTAGTATCTCATTCACAGCCTATACACTTGAATTTGGAGACAGAAGAAGTAGGGAACAAAGATTTTCCCCGGGAATGTGTTTCAGCAGTACACCTCTCAATCTCATCTTAGGACATAAAATCTGAAGATTAAAGGACACAACAGCTCCAAACTGAACAGGACCGCATACACAGCATTAAAATGTCCGAAATCCTAATTAGCGCACATGCATTACACCTAATTAACAAATCCAAAACACCAAAAGAACCTAAGAATAAAATACCTTTGTTTGTTCACATGGGCAACAACCTTGTTAGACGAACCGAGTGATGTCAACAATCTATTGTACACCGTCGGTTCTCTGTAGACCACTTCGTCCGATTCAGCTTCAGCGCATACTTCTTCAGATGACTCTAAAATTCCAGAAACAAACGCGATGAGTAACAAAATTCTCAACAAATCATCGATAATTGACACTAAAAAATCAATGCTTCACATGCCTGGATGCTCAGGTGGTGAAGGGCTGTGAACGACTGCTTCTTTAACACGTCGATTTTTCGATGTACACTTCTTCATACTGAATTTCTCCTGTGTCCTGCCTCTCTTCATGGCTACAAGGGTAACGCTCTCGGCGGAGAATATGCACTGCTCCGAGAAGAAGAAGACGAATAATTCACCGGAGGGGAAAAGGGAGTTTCTTAGGGTTTTTCACGACGGAAGGGGGGTCCTGGAATTTGACAATCAATGTGAACTTTATATTAAAATAGTAACGTGTTAAATTGTAAAAGGCCCAACACTTGTTCATCACGTCCCAAATCCCATAATGTAACGTGTTAAATTATGAGAGACAAAACAAAGGATTAAGTTCAACGAAGGTGACTTATTTGGTTAATAAAATCAATGACCGAAATCGATTTGAACCAGCAATCGTAATTAAACGGAAACAGATATAAAAATTGAATTATTATGATTTTTTAAAAATGACAAAATTGAACCGAACCAAATAAAAAATAACTGAAAAAACCAACAATTTAATAAGAAAATTAGTATATCGTACATCAAAACTGAAACCAAACCGCTTCAATATAAGAATTGAAGTGTTATAATTTTTCTAAATTCAAAATAACCGTACTCCAATATAACCAAACCAAGGTTCGGTTCGGTTATAATATTAAAAACCAAGAGAAGAATGAAGAAGAATAAAACGAAGAGTACAATCAAAAATCAAAACGAAAACACGAAGAAGAAGAACCACGAATCGAAGAGCAACCAGGAAAGCTATGCAACAGAAACGCAACAACCAGGAATAACAAAAGAAGAAAAATCAAAAATCAAAACGAAGAGTACCAAAAACACGAAGAAGAACACTGAAGAAGCAACCTGTCACTCACAACAATGAAGAACACAAAAACTCGAAGGGAAACCTGTCAAACTCGACGAAGAACACACAGAAACACAACAACGAGAATATGGCGAAGGGAGTGGATAGCAACAGGGCGAAAGGAAACATGTCGCAGAGGAAACGATGGAGAAACACACAGAAAACTGTCGGAGAGGAAAACCACAGAGAAGAATTGTCGATATACAGAAGAGCTTTCAGATTTACCTCGTATGAAGAAGAATTGTTGATAATGACGGCGGAAGAGACGAAGGGTATCTGATGGGCTTCGTGAGAGGCGAAGAGCAAGGAGAGTCGACGCCTGTAGCAGGTCGCAGCGGCGGTGAAGTTTCCGGAGACTTCGGAGAAGAAGGAGAACCCAATTTCCGATCGAGAGTCCGACGGCCGGAAGGGGGTTTTCTGCTCAGGGTTTCGATTTTGTGACCCTAATGACTTTTCCTTTTTTCTTTTTCAACACAAGGGACCGGAGTTAGTTATTTATTTGTCCTGACTAAGTTCGATTAAGCACAAGGAATAGGAATTATGCCCGAAAACCTGGCCCATTATAAGTTCGGTCGAGGCCCATAAAGGGCAAATATGTCTTTTACTTCTGAAACTCTAGGGTTCTCGTCACTTACTCCTCTTGTTTCGTCACACACATATATACATATAAACTCACTCAAGCTAGAAGTTTTCTCCTGAAGAATTCTCAGTCGTAGCTCATCTCCGTCCTCGCTGCGGCTCCACGTGATATCAGAAAATGGGTGTCTTCACGTTTGTGTGCAGAAACAGCGGCGGAGAGTGGAACGCCAAGCAGCACGAGGGAGACCTCGAGGCCTCCGCCTCTTCCACCTACGAGCTCCAGCGTAAACTCGTCCAGACCGCCCTCTCCGCTGACTCCTCCGGCGGAGTTCAGACCTCCTTCTCCCTCATCACCCCTACTTCTGCCGTCTGCCAGGTTGCTCTCTCTCTCTCTCACACACACACACACATCTGTTTTCTGTATGTTCTTAAATAGATTGCTGGATTGCCAGATTTGTTTAGGTTTTGGAGTGGTTTAGGGTTTAGGGATCGCGGGCATTTTTGAATTGTTCCCTCTTTTCTGAGTTTCTATCATTTCCTTGGGAGAACGTTCGGACTTCGGAGTGTCGTGGATCGCCCGATTAGGTTCGCTCTGTGTTATTTTGTTTAGCTTTAGCCTTTCATTGTTGTTTTCTATGGTTTAGGACCGCGATTATTTGCCATTATCACCACTTGTCGATGCAAGCAGTGATCTTCATTCCGTTATATTTTCAGAATCAAAGATTTCGGTTAATCCAGCTTCATGTATTCCTACTTGATAAAAATCTATATTTTGGGTTTTTGTTTATTAGAATGAACACTTTAATTTGTTGGTTTGGGTGCGATGATCCATTGTATGATTATTACTCTCCCTATAATGCTCTAGATTGTATGATTCCTCATTCTTTCATTTCTGTCCCTCAGATCCCTAATGAAGCAACCCATTTTACTTGTATGAGACATTGTTGACAGGACTCAATACCTTCGCATCATATGAAATGCGTTCACCATACCTTGTTTGATTGCTAGTTGTATCTGGTGCGAACATTTCGATGCTAGCTAATGATTGCTTGGTTATACTCGCAATCACGCTTTCTCGCTAGTTTTTGCTCCTGTAAACATTACATACCATCTTGGGTAGTTTGGAAAAACTGTCTGGTCAAGTAGATCAAATTTTGAACCGTATCTATGGTTGTGCAATAATGCAAAAATCCTCGTGGGTACTCTGATACGTATACATATTTCTGAATCCTGTGTGATGCGGAGCAGGTGGTGGTCGGTGGTGCTGTGGGTGGAGGGTTTGTAGCTGGAGGAGCTGCTCCAGGCGGAGGTGCCGGTGGTGCATCAGAGGCAGCAGCTGCCCCTAAGGAGGAGAAGAAGGAGGAAGTTGAGGAAGAGGAAGAAGGAGATTTCGGTTTCTCTCTCTTTGATTAGAAGCTCCTTTAAGGTTAGTTTGATCAGTTTCACCTCTTTTTCTGGTCTCTTACTTTGTTTCGATCTGTCCTCTTCTCAAAAGACTGAGGGTGTAATGAGAATATTATAGTAAGGATATGATGCTGTTTCCCCAAATCTAATTTCCTTGACTCCTAATTTTGACAACACATTATTATAAGCCCACTTCTAAGATATTAATTTTTTTGAATCGAAATTTTGTAACTTTACAGTATTATATATATATATATATAAGACAGTATGCATCCTAAAAACCCGAAAACGCTTCTCTCTTGCATCTCTTGTCATCCTTTTTAGCGTTTTGCTGGGTCTGAAACGCTGGAAACTGCGTTTGGGTTGGGTTTCCCAGCATGGAGACGAGCTTCACTGGCCATGCACTGGAACGGTAAAAGGCGGCCGTGTTATCTTTTCGCTAGGAAGTTCCACCCGAACGCACTAGGCCCGTTGCTGAGCCTCTTCCCCAACTACATGTCCATATGATAAGAGAGAGCTGATGAAATTCTTGGACCGTAAAATCAAGGTTCCGATTTGGAACACAGTTGGGTAAATGTAAATTTAATTGAAGAAATCGGATGATTCGGGCATTGCATTGACGAAAGCACAGTGAGAATGAAGGTGGAATACAGTCAGAGATGAGGCACAGTGATGGGAGCATGAGAAATGGTGGGGTGGAGAGGGGAGCAGCTCCAGTCCTTGCCGTGTCGAACCACCGAGAAGTGACGCGGAACCCAAGTTTTGCCCGAAGCCTCTTTTTCCCTCCGAGACTCTCTCTCTATCTCCTCCAATGCCGTTTTCGCCGCTCTTGCTTTCTCCCAGTCTTGTTCCATTATGGCTTTGCTCACTTGACTCCACACCGCCGTCGACTCTCTCTCTCCCACCTCCTTCCTCGTCGAAACGAAAGCAATAAACTTTATTATCGAAATGAAACATGAATTTGTACACATGTATGTATGTATGTATGTATGTACCTTTAGATCCTTGACAATGGGAGTTTTGAGTCCTGTAAGATTTTCTGTCGCGTTGTACATAACCTCGAGCTTTCCGTTCTTCAAATCCTTCGCCATAACAGTGCTGCAATACAATTTTCACGAAAGGTATATCGGTTTTTGGACCGACGGTATACCGTATACGGATAACTAGAAAAAGAAATAGGTTAAATACACATACGTATCCCAATGACCGTATATCTCGTAAAGCTTTTTCCCTGAAGATGAATCGTAGATTTTGCCCTTGATGGATCTATCGTTTCCTCTGATTCCCATCAACGAGTCGGTAGCCAAATGTAACTCGGCCTCGAGATCGTTCTCCAAACACTTGATTCGAACTTTTCCGGCCCAATAAGCTCTCGTCACCGGTAGAAATCTCATCACGAGGTTCGGAGAATTCATCTCGTAAGTCTCTCCCCTATTCAGAAGCTTTAATGTCCTTTTCCCCTTCACTTCCGCCTCCATGTAGGCACCTAGAGATAAGATCACAATCCCATATCATTTTATTTCAAAAGGTGTATTTTGTTCAATCTCACACATATGAATACCGACACAGTCGAAAATAAATGTATGGAACATTACCACGAAACCTGGGAACAAAACTGTCGACGCGGTCACGGGAGGATGATGCGAAACCTGAAAGAATTTCAATATCATCATTTGAATATAAGAATATTAGGAAATTTGTATGAAACAATTGGTAAGTGTTACAAATAGATATATGTATACTTGCTCAACGAGGACATGGATATTTCCGTGGGAGACGTGGTGAGTTTCGCCGAGGACGGGGTTGTAAGGAGCCATGCCGAAGATCAACGGTCGGAGAGTGGAGATGTTCCACGTCACCACGCTTTTCAGCCGTTCGATCTGTCTGTCTCCACCGTTACACTGACCCAGCAAATCCTGGCCGCCGAAGCTGTAGACCATCTCCCCGTAACACTGGAGCTGCGACCTCGGTATGTTGAAGTGAGGTGGCAACTTCATTTATATATAAAAAAAACCACCATATAATTGCGGAAGTGTGGTGACATAATGTATTAATTAAGGGAGACGACGTAAAACTGTACGAGGAAGAAAATTGTTAAAGGAAATTAATGTCACAAATAATCCCTAACACCACCATATAATTGCGGAAGATCCCAATTTATGTAAAAGTCGTTTGTTTTCTGCTTCCTTAACTTAGATATATACTTGCTTACGTAGATTTATAAAGAAATATTAAGATTGATCAGACAGAAATTGAATAAGCTTGTCCTGCCCCACAGTGGATAAATTAATACGGTTTATAACCTCCTTCCGTTTACTCTTAAATGCCGTTTTAGTTTTCTTTTTGTCCACCCGGTCTCCAGAACTTTGTCCCGACTAATCTGGATCCGACCCGATCGTGCACCTAGTTATATTGGGTGAGTCTCCCAACACATGTATTAAGAAGAAGAATATTTTATCTAAAATACCCTTTTTAGTTAGTTTATTTTTTTAATACTAATAATTGTTTCTATCTTATTAATTTTCATGAAATATAGAAAAAAATATATATAGAAAAACAAAAAATCGTCTTTCATCTTAAAATAAAATATATATATATATATATATATACACTAAAACGGCATATAAAATTCAACGGAGGAGATAATATCTTGCCTGAAAGTGAGTGAGGTCGGATCCAGGGCGTACGTTCTTGAAGAGGCTCAGGATCCGACGGATGAGATTAGAAGCTGTGTAATTACTGTCTTCCTCATCTTCCAACGAGTAAAGCTTCGCGATCACCACTTCTTTTGTTGTTCCTTCTTCCATCTACCCAAAATGAAAAACCATAATTTTGTTAATAAATGCGATTGACAGTAATTTAAATTTTGGATTTTGTAAGGTTTGGCTGTTAATATGGGCATAAATCTGATCAATAGATATGGGGTTCATAATTTCGATAAAGTTTTGGGTGGTTTATGCATGCATATACCATTTAATTACTTCCGTATTTCTTGATTGGCAAATTAGGAAATTCTAGGAGTTGAAACTCGGGGATATTTTGTGTATTATATTTTTACGTTTATTGTATGTTTAGAATTTTCTCTACGTAAATATAGACATAATCCAAATTTGAGTGACCTAGTGGTAAGAACTCTTACTCTGGATTCAAATCCAAGTATAAAAAGAGATATTCACTTGAATATTTTTGATCCTCTAAGAGATGCAGTTTGGGCTAAAAATTCGGTGAACTTCTGGTTTATAAAAAATATATACTCTCTCCGTTTCAAAATATTTTTAGTTTTAGATTATTTTCCATGTTTCAAATTATTTATCATTTTACATTTTCAAGACATTTTTTTATAATAATTTCCAATTTTATCCCTATTAAATTTCAATAAATTATTGATGATAACATTGTTTTTATCATTAAATAAGGATATACGTGACTTTTTTTATATTTTCTTAAAAAATGTGAAATAACCTAAAGCAATAATTATTTTGAAACGGAGAGAGTACATGATATAGATTTTAGAGAATTAATTATAGCAATTATTTAAAATACGAACATTCTTAATCATGACAATAGAAACCCTCTCGTTAGTAGTTCCTCAGTTGTATTTCGTGCATATATATGTATATATATGTCACGATGTTTTCTTGGTACTTTAAAACGTTACTATGTAGTGGAGTTGCTATAGCTATCGTCATGGCAGTTCATGCGCATATATGCTTACATGAATACAAAAGAAAACCGCATATATATATATGTAACGTAACAGACTTTAAACAACGTCTTCAACGTACGCAAATCCTTAGCTCTCAACCCAGAGATCTATATAATACATATATGTATATATCGCCATGACAGGATAACTGGTTTGTTATATGTTTATATATATACACACACATACACACGCGAAAAATATACAATAGAGAGAAAGAATGACCCATTTACCATTTTGAGAAGAAAGGTTTCTTGTGGAACGTGGCCTTTTTTGTCTCTTGCCCTTTTTTTTTTTTTTTTTTTTTATGGAAGAAGAAGAATTCGGGTGTTGCTGTAAGGAGGAAAGGTTTTGTTCTTCCATGAGAACTGAAACCAGAAACCATTTTATAGAATGGTAGGGGAACGGTAAGGGCTTGGGGGGGAAGAGGTCAGCAGCAATAAATAAGGGAGGCGCATGGTAGATAGAAATAATTTTATTTTTATCATGTTGAGTAGTGGTTCGGTCCATGCACATTTAATTCCAATTCCTCTGTAAACGTAGGATCAAATTGTCATTGCGCTGACGTGTACACTGACAGCAGGGAAATATAGTATGTATGTATGTATGTATGTATGTATGTATGTATGTATGTATGTATGTGTGTGTATATGTATATATGTGACGTTAAATTTTATGCGCATCTCAATTAGATACAAGGCCTTTATAAAGCGTCTCTTTCAACTTATCACACGGTAATTACACACACACACACAAAATAAAAAAAATAAATGGCGAACAAAGTCAGTGATTTTGACGTGAAATTAGGAAGTGGTGCGTTTGTGACGACGATGTGGATAAGTTTGAATACATGAATATGTGTGTATATATATATATATATATATATTATAGGTATGGCACTCCATCTCCATTGCATGCTTCCTCACGTTCCTTTGGATTACGTTGTCCATCTAACCTCCTCAACTAGGAAGAATGAATAATAAAGAAACGAAGACTTCAGAACACAATGAGAGAGAGAGAGAAGAGAGAAGCATATGACGATGATGATGATGGTGATGAAGCCTGCACTGACTCTTCTTCTTGTTCATCTTCCTCCTCTTTTTCCTCGTATTAATCCTGTATATATAGTTAGAGACAGTCAGAAACCTATCCTGATCGCTCTCTTTTCAGTGCGGAAGCTAACTTTCAGAAGTAGGTTCTTGCCCCCAAGGAACGACAAGCTGATTTTGGTCTCAGACGAAATATGATGAGGTTTCTCCGGACAGGACAGAACCACTTCCAGGCTCCTCTTTAATGTACTCGCTCTTCCATTGTCGGTGGAGGGCTGAAACCAGTTTTAGTTAAATGACGACTTGTTTGTTATGCTTGAATCTCACGTGAATGTTACGTACGCTCTCAACCCTCAGATTGCAAAACCTAATGGCATTCCACTCTAACCCCTTTGCAGCTCTCATGGAACTCGTCCAGGTTTTCAGCCTGTAGCGAAGAAGAAGAAGAAAAATCGACAAGAAAGTGCAGAACCCAACAGAGTGGAAGAGAACGTATTACCTCAAGAAAATATCGGAATGAGAGCATTACCATGTCTACGAGATGAATGATTCCGCCATTGATGGCACAAAATCTGCTCTTTCAGTCTGCAAATCTGAAGGGAAATTAGGTTTTCTTTCTCCCATTAAAAGCAAGAAGTGAAAAAAAAAGTTAGTTCACTTTACGTGACAGGACATCCTCGTTCAGGCAAACAGTTGTGATACAGAAATCTAAATTCTGGTTCTTTTTCATGGCGAGGAGATTAAGAACAAAACCATGGAAGCGGCACCCGAGGCTTTTTCTGCCAATGCTCTGCCTCAATATCGTATTTCAAGACCCGATAGCACTCGAGCATAAGGGGAAGTTTGTATATCGCAATGTACGGGACAAAAGATTCAAGGGTATTTACCGGAGAGGACCTGTGAATCATTTTTGATGTTTGATATTCGGAGAATATGCACTTTGTGCGAGTAGTTTCAACCCGCAACGATTGAGTGCCAGACAAAGATCGTTTCTTTTTAAGAAAGAAATCGTTCAAACACCACGAGGAACGTCGTAAAACCCAGTTGCGGGATTCGGACAATCTCTTGGAGCAAGCGCGAATGCAGTAAAGCCACACATCTGGTCGTGGTCTTACCACAGATGATCGCCGAAAATGATCTCAGCAGCACAAAAACAGTGAAATCTCTTAACTAGGAACATGGCGTAATTTCGGGGGACAAAACCTACGTGATTGGTCGTCCTGTGACAAGGGCGGAAACGAATTCGGACATAGAAAACCAACGTGGAATCCAAAACATGAAACGGTAGATAGAACTCGTTGGATTGGACACAGATTGTCTGTTTGATATGAGAAGACAAATTGCTGCTTTGTGTGTGTTTGTGTTTGTTTCCCCTTCATTTGTTCTCGTCATTCGCTCTCCACTCAACTAATCTCTTCCATCATCCCTTACGAACAAAAAAAGATGCACACTAACAAGATCAAGAAGATTCTAAAAAAAAACAAAGAAAAAAACTTCGTTGCAGGCTTGTATTCTTTACGAGCGTTGCCCGCTTGGACTGGTGGAGTTGGGTCTTCTCACGAATCGTCCCTGTCCCATCACCAACCCCCAAATATATATATCAACAAATACACATTCATTAATTACATATATATATATATATGTATGTATGTATGTATATATACAGTGTATAGCGTATATACCTTCATGCGGGGGCGTTGGTCAGCGTTGAGCTTTCGGACTTGGTACCTGATCTTCTTGGAGAAGAGACGGGTCCTTCGTTTCTCTTTGTACCTCATCACACTCGCTTCTCTCACTCCCCCTTCTCCGAACAAATCTATCTGTGCCACCCTCGCCTGCGGTCAACGCCACGTCATCATCATCATATATATATATATAAACATAACTCATGTTTCCCAGCCACTTTATCACCACCCATCATTTCCTCATCAGATTCACCATGAAAATTTGATGTCTCTCTATACAAATCATGGTAAAGTTCATAGCTTTTTATTTTTTTTTTAAAAATGCATATTGGAAAATTGCTCTATAAGGCCCTCTACTTTAACATAAATAAACATTTTCCAACGTAGTAACCGAATGTATAAATGCTCTCAGAATTGGTTTATTTTCCATGCGAGAGCATCACGTGCAAATAATATTGTACCGACACCGACAGTACTTGAAAATGTTTAATTTGATTTGGGAGCAAAGTCAAACATTATTTTAATAGGAAAAACAGTCTTACTACAGGTCTGTAGCTTTATTAAAAACTAAAGAGGCTTATAAAAAAAACATATTTTAATTACCATAACTAATACATTATTAACCATTAATTTATTAATTAGTAAACATTAAAAAGACATAACTCCTTTTTCAGGTGGACTTTTCAACGCCACGTGGTGGAAAATTAGCAGTTAAGAGCAGATGCCGAAAATGATAATTAAATATGAATTTAATCATATATTTAAAAAAAAGAAAAGTAGAAATTTAGGAGTCTACGTCGATGGAGAGAGAGTGAAGAGTAAAGTTTAACGTACATGGACATCGGCTCCGGCGGCGTCCGGCCCCAGAATCTCGTCCGAGAACGGCAACCCCTTGTCCGACCAAGCTTCCAGGATGCCGTCGTAGTCGAGCTTCAACAACGGACCCCATCTCTCCTCCGGATTCGGATTTGGACTCGATTCCTCATCCTCTTTGCTCGATTCGCAGCTCTTCGATTCCGCCGCCGGCGATACTTTCTTCTTTTTCTTCTTCTTCTCGGCCGCCGCCGCCGTTACCGTCTTCTTATTGTTGTCGGATTCGGCGTTACCGGCGGCTGCAGCCGTGGCAGCGGTTGGGGTTGCGGTGGTTCGGATTCTCGGCGAGATCTGATCGAAATCGACGGTGGGAAATCTCCACCAGTTGGCGTCGTCGTTATCTCGGATTGCGCTCCTCAATCCGAACCCTAACTGGAAATTCCCGGCGAATCCGAACCCCATGGAGCTTCCGTACCACGGATTCATCATCATTTGCCGTAACCGGCCGATTCCGTAGCAATTCTCTCCGAGATTGATCTTCTGAATCCTGGAATCACCGACCCTGTGATTCCCCTCGTCGTTCGATTCGACATTTCCCATTATACTGTCGATTCCTTCTTCAATTTCCTCGTCCAGAATCGATTCCGCATCGAAATCGTCGAACAACTCCAACCGATTCGCCTCCAAATCATCGATTTCAGCTCCCTCTTCCCGACGAAATTCACTTCCTTCTGCTCGAAGAACGGATCTGTCTTCGCTTGGAGAGGCGGATGGAACAGAAAATCGGGCTCCTCGATTGATTCAAACTGCAAAAGCAACTCAGAAGCTTCGTCGAAGTCACTGTGAGGAGATTTAATCCCGAAGAAGTGCGAATTCGAGGGAGATTTCAATGGGTTCGAGTGGTTGGAGGAGAAGATGTTGGGGTAGGCGGTGGACAGAAGTGCAGCCGCCTCGTTGTATGTCTGATTCGGACGTTTTCTCGGCGTCCGAGCCTTTCGCGTAGAGATTGCGAGCGGCGAATTCGACTCCGACAAAGTCGAACACGGCGACGGAGTGTTGTGCGACGGTGCTCTGGTGGCGGTTAACGTCGACGGTGGAGATTTCACGATCTCCAGGTCGAAGCCATACGCGGCGGCTCTTCCGCTGCCGCCGCTGCTCAGACAGGACGACATCAGCTTGTCGGTGTTTATTGGCCCAGAAAGGATTTTCCCGGAAAACTGAGGTTGGTGAAATTGAGTGGATTTTTTAATTCCTCTAGTCAAAGTGTTGTGAGGAAAATTCAGAGGAAATCTGGGGAATTATGGAAATGATCGAATTTGAGTGACAGAACATAATTTTTCTGGGGAAATCGCGGGATTCTGGGATTCAGAGGAAAATGTACGAACAGTACTGTTGATGACGCAACGCAGTAACAGAGACAGTGTGAAGAAATTTTGCAGTTTCCCCTTTTGCTGTATTTTTTGGGATTTGGGAATAGAAATCGACTGGTTTATCTCTTAGTAATGATAAACCCTAAACCCTCTTAGCACTCAAAAACAAAGTAAAGGCTGAAACTTTTTCCCTCTGCGCTACTAAATTCGGAAAAAGGCCAAAACTTGAGAGCTTACAAAAGGGAGCAAGAGAGAATCCATCCATGAGAGAGCAAACCCAGATTCACCGGAACAGAGAAAACTCCAGAATTTCGTCATCTCTAAACCCACCAACTGAGAAAGCAAAAGCATCAAACTTTGAAATCGATTGGAATAAAAAAAGGAAACCGGACAGAATCCCAGAAAAACCCAATGCCCAATAGATGTGAGAGAAGAGAGAGAGCCCAATAAAGCAAGGGACTTGCAGAGGAAATCTGATTGGTGGAGAGAGAGGAAGAGGGAAATTGGAGTGGATGGAGAGTCACGAGGAGAGGGAAGAGATATAGTAGAAAGAAAAGGGAAAAAGGATCCGTTAGGGTTTGTGAAGGTAAAAGACATATATAATCGGCGGAGAGAGGTGTGTGTCTGTAAATATCACAGAGAGAGTGGTGGAAGAAGACGATGGCATATGTCGAAAGGACAAGAATTGCTCGAAAGGAGCTCAGCGAGTGTGTGGGGTCCACTCGGTTCCTTTTCCAGTTTTAAATATTTCTTAAACGAGAGTCAAATGTGCAATTACATTCCTCTTTCATTTGACTCTGATTAGTGATTATATATATCATCAAATATGATTTTGCCAATAAATCGAATTCCTTTCCTTTGTTGTTCTTAATATTTTTCTTTCCTCCTCTTCTTAAAGTAGGGTTCAAAATTACCCAAAAAGGGCCTTGATTTCCCTGAAATCCAACAATCTTGACAATAATTATAACATAATAAAATTAAAAATATTCCTTGGTTAATTATAAGTGGGTTTAGGGAACTTTTATTGTAATTGCAAAGTTAGGGTAAATCATCGGCAGTGACTTTTCGAGAGAATTTGAATGTGCCTTTGGTTTTTTGGATTATTTCCAAAAATTCGCCAAAGGAAAAAATCCCATACCCACCTGCAAAACTTTTTGGGTTCTTATGATAGTAAACAAAAAACGTCACCCTATCCATTGACGTGGCAAAGTCTCATTGGCTCACTTAGATTTCTCTGATGACGTGGCTATCCTTTTTACTGGTCGGATGCGCTTTCACGTGTTCCAATGAACGACTTAAGAAATTTAGACAAATGTTCAAAATCCATTAGCATTATACACTTAAAAACTATATAATAAAAACCCAAGTATCTAATAACTTTGTCACATATTGATAGTACGTAATAAATATTGTGATTGGATGCTAGTATTTAAATATTCAAATTCTAGATACGTATATATAGATATATATAAGTCTTTTGCTGACTTAATATTAAATATATAGTTTGTCATATACTTTAAATAGCTTAGATATTATATAAAAAAAATGAATAGAAAATATGAGGATAGTTGTGTAGGCCTAAAAGGATAATGTCCCACACAGAGGAATGATTGGTACCTTTTTGGTGCCATTTAAGGGATTTGTGTGGCAGATGGCGATCATACGTTGTGCTCTCGTTACGTTTAGTGGCTCCTGGTTTAGATTATTATTATTATCATTATTTTATTTATTTGGATATGGTCTTTGAATCTCATATTCGCAAAATCTATTGTGAATATTTTCGATTTTGAAATTGTTGTCTGTATCGATTTCGAACTTTGATACAATGTCTTTTTTAAGATTTTGGTCTGTATATACATAAGTAATTAAGTACTTTGCACTTTTTTCCTTTTGTGTTTATTTACTATATACCATTATCATAGTAAATTGGAATTAATTAATCATAATACCAAAATTGTCTAAAACGATTAAAAAGAATGCATGTATATATTAAAAACAATGTAGTAAATAAACAGTTATTGATTTTGTTTATATTATTTTGTCTTAACTTTATAATATTTTAATATATTGTATTTAAGATTCTATAAAGTGATGAGATAGCTGATTATTAAAAATATTATTTTTTAAAAATAATATATGTAAAAATGGAAACTATCTTTTCTACACTCGCCCTTGTCTTCATTTTTCTCGAAAATGTTTTTTGGACCGCATAAATGCCCAACAGATATTTGTGTCCAGAAAATATCTTCGTTATACAAATAAAACAGAATATAAATAATTAATAAAGATAATAAGATAGATATAACCATGATGGTTCAAAAAAAGAAAAAAAAAAGAAAAACGTGACTACATAATTTCGTCATTAATTGTCTTGGAACATTGTAATTGAAATTGTATAATCTTAAGATTTTTATTATAATATTTCTATAGACCAAACTTTGATATAGTTTTGCTCACATACTCTCGGAATCTAGTTTCTTTCTCTTGGCAAATGGCTGTTCATATCCTCAACTATAATTACAGATAAATATTCAGCAGTGGATGTTTTATTTTGCTTACTTACGAGCTTAGTTTCTTTTTAATCTATACTTATTTTGTTATTTATTTTTAAATTAATACTAAAAAATTATATTCAATCAATTTATTAGGCGTTTGTTTTTTATATCCAAAATGGGAGTTCCATCTTTTTTCGCAATCATTTAAATGCTTCCAAGTTTTCCATATACGAGAGAGTTCTACTATATTCTATGACAAGACTGTTGTTGAAAAATAACTCATTTGATTTAGTAATCTATCACTTTAAACATACTCTAACTAATTTATGCAATAATATTTTTTAGAGAGAGAAAGAGAGAGAGAGAGAGAGAGAGCATCTTATCTCTAAAAGGGGTGTCGTGCTGGAGACAGAGAGAGCCTTAAAAATACGATAAACCCCAATCCATCTCTTTTGTTCTTTTCTTTTATACCAAAATTTACTTTGATTCTCTCTCTCTCTCTTATATCACAACATGTGACTCCTCTCCTTTTTTTTACTCTTCTTATCTTTATTTTTTTTGTTTTCATCCCAATTAATTATCTTTTATTAAGACTCTATTATGATATAGAATATGTTTAGATAAATATGTAACTATTTCCCAAGATTTCGTGCCCTAATTTGTAACCTCTATATATATATTTGGATATAACATCTACAAAAAAAATCTATATATATGCGAAAATTTATCTTTCATCCAACTCTCTCTCTCAAAATGATTGAAGAAATTCGCATAAATACTTTTCTCCACATTTAACCTAAAATAGAATAGCATGCTTTTGCATGTTATTTTAGAGGCATCCAAAATTGGGTAGAATTACTCAAGTTTACAAGTTAAACACGTAAAATAAGTTTGAAAACACAGTTAAGTTTGACAATAGGCTAAATATTTAATAATTAATGGGATTCTGACCACTCATTTTATGCGTGACAAAAATAATAACTAAAACAATTAAATCGCCTTTTGTTTATTTATGGAAAAAAATAATTCATCTTTTTACTTGAAGACATATCTTAGAAAAAAAATGCAATCATTTGTCGTTTCATATATTCTAGTGCACCAGCCTAACATATGTGACCGTATGATTCGATTAATAACTTAAACCAATATATAACGAGAATAATTTGTTTTACATCTTTTTACATTATAATTTATGTATAGAAATCAACGTTTTTTTATAACCGGATATCTTGTACCAATATATATCAATACGAAAGAATCATTTGTTTAACATCCTTTTACTTTATAATTTATATATAGAATTCAACGTTTTTTTATAAACTAATTGTTAAATAATAAAAATAACTAGTAAACAAGAAAAAAACTATCACTTTTCTTTTCTTCTTTTGGGTGACCGAATATCTTGAACCAAAGTTCAGATTAATCCGGGGATCGGAAGTCAGACAAGTGATTTGGAATATATGTTCCCTCTCAAATTTGAGGTTCGAACTCGTGACGAAACATATGTTTTGTGTCCCCGTTTCATCTGCTGAACTATCCAAATTTGGGTTCACCTTTCTTTTTTTTACCAAGATAAAAAAAAAAATCCTAATACAAAAGCAATTTTTTTGGCACTTAATTATATATTTCTAGTTTAAACTCAAAACGTTTACCTACTTTGTTTGAATTTGTATAACCTGCTGAAAAAATATAGACTATGTTTTTCAACTAATACGAATAAAATGAAATTAAAAATAGTCATGAATAACTACGAAAACAAAGAAATGAACTCCAATAAAACACAACATATATTGCTAGAGAATTCAATCGTATGACACGTGAACATGTGAGGTGGCAAGTGGCTCATTGGCTCAAAAGTAACCTTTGGAGAGTCAATTAGGGCAAATTCGAAAGCTGTCATGTTATTTGACCCACGTAGTTACAAACTACAAGTGAACTCTCTTGTGTGTTTTTGCGAGGGACCATTTTTATTCACATACATTTTTGCCCTATTTCCCAATTCGAATCTGGCATGGCGGTATACTCCTACACCATCCTCTCTCACTCTCCACTCCATGCTTGTTATAATTTTTTTTTTTAAAAAAAATCAATCTTTAGGGAAATGTCTTGATAATTCGGATAGAGTTAAGCCATGCATGAGCCTATATATAAAATTTCGGCTACTAAATTTTGTGCCTTGGTATACAAGTTATTTAAATATGAATCTCACAAGTCCATATATATACATATACATATATATATATATTGCGTCAAAAATAATAATGATAATAATCAATCTTCAAACATGGTAATTAGTTGGTTCCTCTAAAACTTGGTGAAGTAAGAGAGAGTGTAGAACCTACAAAGTGCCGTCTCGTCTCTATAGATAAAGGATCTTATGGGCCGACAGATATTTGTTACGTCCCTTTCTTCGTCGAGGCGTGCCCTATGACAAAACAGGATTGAGAGGCAAACTTCCCATAGAACAAAAAGATTTTATAATATATGCTTTATTTATATTGTACAAAGATATTACATTATATATTAGAAAATATCTCAGTTCATTTTACGAGCAAAGAGAAAGAAAAAAAAACTTTTTTATTTAATTTATGTGAAACATGGATACTGAAATATATATTTGCTTCGATGTTATTTAGATTTTATGATAATATTCAAACCATGACCTAAGGACGGTTTTTTATTTTATTTATTATTTAGATAAGTTAAAACGATGTCGTTGAAGGGATGAACTCATTATAGTTGGGCCTTCAGCTTTGAAAAGGCCCATAAAATAAAAGTTCAAATCGCATCTATCACTATGGGCTTTACCTTTTCAAGGTCAAAGCCCAAACATTTGCACATTTCTGAACGACGTCGTTTGATATTCTGATACTTGTCACAGGCAGGCGTAATCTCTCCCTCCCTCTCTCCGGTTCTAATGGCCGCCATTGCAGAATCTGTGGAGAATGATGCCGTTCCCTCCCCGGAGAACGAGAACCTTACTCGGGATGAGACCAGTCATTCCGCCGTATTAAATGGAAACCCTAGCGCCAACGCCGAATCTGGTCAGCAGGATGAGAACTTGGCTGCCAGAACTGCCGAGGGAGCAGTCTCCGGCATTGATGGGTCGGCGGAGAAGTGGCCGGGCTGGCCGGGAGACTGCGTATTCCGTCTGATCGTTCCGGTGACCAAGGTCGGCGCCATTATTGGACGAAAAGGAGACATAATCAAGAAGATGAGCGAGGAGACTGGTGCTCGTATCAAAGTTCTTGATGGTCCCATTACGACTCATGATCGCGTCGTCAGTCCCTCTCTCTCTCTCTCTCTCTCTCTATATATATATATATATATATATATATGCGTATGTGTGTGTGCGCTTAATTTTCCGAATTGGAGACTTCCTGTTTTTCTAGGGTTTTGTCTTTTAGGTATCTCACTTCATATATGACTAGAGGGAATCGAACCAATCTGGTCTTGTTGTCTGAGCTTTTCGCTAGCATCTGGCTTGATGAGTGTGAGTTTCTTGGAATTGAGAAATTAAATTGATTAAAGGTTTATCTGTCCATGTTGATATTCAGCTACTGTGGCTTGAGGTTGACTTTTCCATTATAGTTTAAGCTCCATTAGGTTATTATTTGGTTTTGTTAGGTTCTAGGATTAGGAATAATCTATGCAGTTTGGACAGTACATCGATTGGAATTGCACTCTCATATTGCTCTTTCACAATTTGTATTATTTAGGTGCTTATATCTGGAAAGGAAGAACCGGAAGCTTCATTGTCCCCTGCAATGGATGCAGCCCTTAGGGTGTTCAGGCGAGTTTCAGGCTTGCCTGATGATGATGATAATGATGATGTGAAAACAGCTGGAGTCGGCTTCTGTTCATTGCGATTATTGGTGGGATCTTCTCAGGCTATAAACTTGATTGGAAAACAGGGCTCTTTAATCAAATCCATAGTAGAGAACTCTGGCGCATTTGTTCGTGTATTACCCGAAGGTATCATCGCCCTTTACAGTTCACATTCTGATAAATCTCTGCATTTATTTATCAAAGCTTAAAAAGCTGCCCTTTATCATCAATATTTCTCTTCGAGGGTTGTGTTCTATTTGATACATTGTGTCCTATATTCGATGGGAGACATGAAATAATAACTGAAGCTTTTGCCGCCAGAGGATAATCCATTTTATGCTTCGGAGGATGAACGGATAGTAGAGTTGCAGGGAGAGGGATCTAAGGTCCTAAAGGCCTTAGAAGCCGTTGTGGGTCAACTAAGAAAATTTCTAGTTCACCACACTGTTGTTCCTCTCTTTGAGAAGCAAGTAAGTTGAATGCAAAATGGCTTGTTGAGAAATATGTTTCTTTCTTTTTGTTTCTTAATGATCTAGCTTTTGTTTTCTAATCTTTAGTATCTGGCTAGAGCCTCTCAAGGTCGTCAGTCAGAAATGTTAGTTAACAAGCCATCTCTAAGATCTAGTTCACAAAGTATGATCGAATCTGATTTTTCCCTGTTGGCACGGAGGGAACCTCTGTTTCTTGAGCCTGAATCACGAATTCAGCCGCCAGGAGTTTCTATTTGTAGTCAAGATCGTGTACTCTCAGCCAGACATTCTCCAGGACTTGGTCGGGTTTCTACTGCTTCATTTGTAACACAGGTAGAATCCACTAGATAGATGTAGCATCATCATTATTGTTCTTGCTCTGATCTTTCTCTCTTTATGATTCTGATTTTAATAGGTCGCTCAAACTATGCAAATACCATTCTCGTATGCGGAGGATATCATTGGAGTGGAAGGAGCTAATATTGCATACATCCGTCGAATAAGTGGAGCCACTATATCCATACAAGAGAGCCCACATCGTGATGAAATCACTGTAGAAATCAAGGGAACTTCTACACAAGTTCAAATTGCTCAACAGCAAATTGAAGTGAGAATACTTTGTTAATTGATGTCATTAACGACGGGAAACATCTGTTTTCATTTCCTCTGTAACGATTTGTCTCAGGAATTCATCAGTAATCACAAGGAGACAGTTACGGGTGGGTATGATAGGAGCGAGACCGGCTACTTGCCCACATATCCTCAGCTTAGCAGCCGCAACGAGCCACTTTCGAGCGGAAA